TGTACCAGGGTCTTCTCTCCTACCGCCGACATATTGAAAAGCGAGAAGACCCTGGGGACGAGGTTGTTTAGAGCATTTCCGAAACGTTTCGGTCCACGAATTCTATCGCTTGAAAGCGTTGAATACTTTGGAACAAGTGAACATTACTGAGTAGTCGAAAAAAAAAGAATCTTAATTAGCAAAACTGCGATGGTCGGGTGTTGTAAACTTTCATTGCATGCAAATGCATCTTGTGATGAGCATGCGGTTTATTTTCGGCGATGACTGAAATGAAGTGCCATGTAAATCACTTCTTTGATCTCTGGCAATGATGTAATTTCTCTGGAATCGAGGCCCTTGAATTTTCGTGTATTTATACACGCTTATAGTCTGCGACCGCAGACGTATTTCCGGTCGTCGCTAACACGCGTACTAAATCAGTTTAGAAACAAGTAAAAAGTATCGACGTCGATAAGGTAGGAAGTAAAAAAACCTTTAGCGAGTAAATCCTGTTTAGTGTAGAATTATTCGCCTCCTCATTTCTCGATCCAATCTCCAAGCAAGCGAGAGAGATGGCCGCTGTAAGCGCGTTCTTGTTACTCTTAGAGCAAACTTGTAAAATATGTTAAAATAAAAAAGAAAAGAAAAGAACAACGACAAACCGCCTTGGTCAACTTGAACATATTGACAAAATAAATTCTAGTCTCAAAGACTCAGATTTTTTTCTTGTAGCTTTCGACTGTATCGCAAAGTCTTCATGAGCAATAAACGCTCCAAGTTGTCGCGTGAATTTATAATCACGTGACAACAAATGATTAAAAATCGCGGGAAGTTCAAAGCCCCTATCTCCATTTAGGGTTCTGGCGTCTGATATGGATGGCCTCCTTGATTTTTCTTTTAATGTCCACCGTCTCCTGGTCAAGGATTTTGACTCCCTTCCAGTCGATCGCATGGCTGGCTCTGGACTGGTGTTCTCAGACTGCTGATGTTGTTTGTTTTTGGTGTTCACTCAGTCTCTTTGAGACGTTGAGACTAGAATTTATTTTGTCAAAATTGTTTACAAAGGTCAACAATGCGCATTTAACTTGAACATTGTATTTCTGATATCCAGGCATTTTCCTTAGCTATCAAACTTCGCTGTAATTCTACTAAAACTGAAATAAAGTCTCCCTGAGGTACCGGCCGCTCAATAGAGGTTTATCACAAATTAGTATAACCTTTAGCAGAAACATCTGTTATTTTGAACCAAACAGGCGACAAGAGCAGCATTACTGGTCCACGATCGGTCATCAAATTTTATTTAGGACTGTATTTAACAATTATTCCTCGATCCCGAATGGGCACTTAGTCTATAGCGCATGAGGCCGAAGGCCGAATGGGCTGTTGACTCGGAGGCCATGAGGGCGAGAGGAATAATTGTATTGGTAAAATCCAACTAGTTGTTCAAAGACATCGAAACAAAACAACTTTAGCTAGTTAAAAATAGACTTTTAAATCCTTTTTTGCCGCCAAAAAGCCGGCGCTTTTCGCTATTAGTGGGCTATAACCTATAGCCTAGTAATAGCTCAACCAATCAGAACGCAGCATTGATAATAGACCACTAGTTGGATTTTACTAATTTCCCTTATCATACTCTTGAAATAAAGTCAACCTAAGTGACTCAAGCGCTTGATGGCCGCTTAATTGAGGTGACAACAATGGGAGAACTCTTGTTGGGACGGGCAAAGGGTGGCCGCGGCTGCTTAATAGAGCAACCTCGTCCCCAGGGCGCTTTTCCCTGGCTTTGGAGGTTCCCCCCCCCTACCCCCACCTCCAAAGCCGGGGAAAAGCGCCCTGGAGACGAGGTTGCTTAACAGAGGTGGCCGCCTAATAGGTGGCTGCTTAATGAAGGTTCTACTGTAGTACATTTTCATTCTCGGTTCACAAGTCTGTCTCTACTATAGCAGATATCAACATGTATATGAGTCATCATGTAGTATCTTCCCCGGGGGGTACCCACTTAGGGTTTATACGGAAAGGTCCCGCCCCGTGGTCCAACCCCTTATCTTACCAGCCACGCTCTGTTTTGGGTTCTATCGGTGTCGTTTTGATGTCTTGCAAAGTTAATTTTCACTTAGTACGATTAGCTTTGCACAGTTTAATGTGTCTGCTTGTTACATTTTTGCTGATCAGGTCTTCTTCAGATCCTACGTTCGTCGGCATATTCGTTTGCAGTCCTTTGCAGTTAATTTCATTAAGAACGGGTACCCTATTCGTATACCTCTATTAAAAAATGGTACCCCTTTCACAAACCTAGTTTAGAAAGTTGCACCACTTTTAACTACAGTAAATGCATTGTCTTTAAATCACAAAACCAGGACGTTTTCTCGACCTTTTCACAGCCATAAAATGCATCTGTTAGCCCTGTTACGCCTTTTTACAAACCGAATGACAGATTTCTCTACCCTTTCACATCCTTCAACTTTTGAAATCCCTACCCTTTGTTATACCTGAGGCTTGAAAAAGGTATCTCTTTCCGGGGAGCCTTCCCGCATTGGCCAATATAGGTAGTATCGCTGGTATCTGCCGGTAAGGAAGCACGAAATCTTAAAGTGGTTTTTACAAGTAATTAATAATGTTATATCTAGCTACATTGTGTTGCTCCGCTTCTCTGTATCTAAGAAACATCGGAAGAGTCAGAAAATATATTTAACAGAGCGACTAGTCCGGGCATTCATTACATCTAGACCAGACGTCTATTGCAATAGTTCACTGTACGGACTGCCAGCCAAGGGGATTAGCAAATCACTGCGCTTACAGAACTTTGCGGCAAGGTTAGTTATGAAATGTAAACTCCGAGACCACTTAGCTCCATCACTACAAAAACTCAGTGTTCTTTCTCACCGGATGACTTTTAAGATCATCAAGGTGCGGTCACACTATGAGAATTCTGCAGTGCTGATCGTACTACGTGAAAATCAACTTTGCAAGACATCAACACGACACCAAAAGAATCCAAAACAGAGCGGGATTGTAGCTGTCTACGTGCAGTATATTCGTTTGCGGTCCTTTGCAGTTAATATTCATTTGCGGTCACACTAGCCGTTTTACCCATGGGCAAATGGCTGTTGCCAACAGGGAAGCAACTTTTTATGTGTGACCGATTCACTCCAAGATGAAATTGCCTGGGGAAATTTCCATGGACACGTAAAAAAAGAAATAAATAAAAGAATTCGCCATGGCAGGCCCCGAGGTAACTTCTATGCATGGGTTAAATGAACTCAAAGCGGCTGGGCCAATCATGAAAAAAATGAAATGTACCAAACAGTAGAAATCACGCGTTGTTTACGTTCTGAGTTCATCTTGGCGCCCAATCCAAACCGTACTGAAACTGGACTCAAAGTTCGAAAACTTAGCAGGACTTGACTGCTGCAGTGAATGTCTTTAATTTACGTTAAATAAATTCAAAAACACCTTGAAGAACTCGCAAGATTTCTTTACACAAGTGTTCAAGAATTTTCTCCTTAATATAAAGTCGTTGCAAGGCCGCTCTTTTGCCGGCCTTAAGCGAGAATTTGCCTTTCTTTTATTTAAGTGCGATGAAGGCAAGGTCTTCGTTAGTCTCAAAATTAAGGGCGGAATCGCTCTTGCTAAGCTTAATTGATGTGGAGGTTTTATTAAAAGGGTAAAATTAAAAATGGTCGAAACCTTTTTACGATTTAAGTCATCCTTCAATCTGGCAACGACCCGGGGGGGGGGGGTACTTTAGGAATTTCTGGGTGAGGATGTGCCGCTGGGACCCTGGAACCCTTAACCTATACCAGAGCTAGTTCAGCTGAATGTTGCTACCCTATACTAGAGTAAACTCGCCCAAATCCCCCTATCCTAGAGTAGCTGTTTCCCTTGTCTAGATAAAATCTTCAACCAACTGATTAGGCTCGATTACCAGCCGCTGTTCGGGAAAGACCGGACCCGGGAGACGGCGGAAATCGAGCCTACCAACTGATCAGTTTCCTGAAAAATGATACCCTATTCTAGACCCAAACGCTCTGATTTATATACCCTATCCTAGAGTAAACTGCTTGAAAACCATACCCTTCAGAGCGGCACATACCTATATAGCCATATATGGCAGTACCCCCCCCCCGGGGCAACGACGCGCGAGTTTTTTTCTTTCCCTTGGGCAATTTATCGCTGTGTAACCGCAAACACGAAAGTGATCAAAATCCAACCTATTTTCCCGAAGGAAGCTTTCGGGAAAAAAAATCCGATTGCGTTCCGGAATATCTGTGGCCCGGGGGGGTACTCCCATACATTACCTATACGGGTATGTGCCGCCCAACAGGGTCGTGATTTTGAAGCTCCTAATTCAGAACGGGGTATCCATTTTAGAGGCGTTTTCGAGAACGGGATATAATATTTCGAACGCACGAAAGCTCCAGTACTCCGGATGATTATGAAGAAGCATTTATTTGATGTATAAGTCGAACAAATAAAGAAGTATCTTTTTTTAAAAAAACAGGGCTATTTCAATTTACAAACTCTCTACAAAGGAGTATAAAAAATTGGCCCATTTCTAGAACGGGGTATCAGTTTTAGGGCGAATTCTAGAGCGGGGTATAAAAAATTGGCCCATTTCTAGAACGGGGTATCAATTTTCGGGGACTTTTTTTTTAGAACAAGGTGCCAATTCGGAGTCCGGGGAGGCACATACCCACCCAAAAAATACCCAAGTGCCCCCCCGGGATCTGTGGTAGCCTGCGTAGCAGGGCGCTTGGAATTAACGGGGCAAGTAAGAACGGGGCGCGTGAGGGAGACACGCGCCCCCGTTCTTTCCTGCGCCATTATATCTGGGGCAGAGGTATCAGCCCATAGGGCCATGCGCGTTCATATACTTTACATGTTACAACCTCGTCCCCAGAGGTCCCTTTTGTCATGCGCTGGAAAAATCGGGACCCCTGGCCAATCGGGTTTCAGGACCAATTCCTATTGGCTGTTGAAAGACAAAAGCGTAACAACCGGAAGTCCACATAACCCACAACATGGCAGAACTTCCGAAAACACCGACTAAAGCAGCAACCCGGGTTTGTCGAACCTGCAACGAAAACATAGTTGTGAAGAATCATCCTTTAGATTTATTTGGTGCAAAGGCATCACAAGAAAACATTCCTTCGGTTCTGGAAAGGTTCTTTGAGTTAAAAGTTGCGTTAAACGATGGTCTCCCGTCATATATCTGTAGATGTTGTTACCATAAAGTGGTGAAGTTCCAGGAATTTTTTAGAAAAATAGCGTTTTCGAAGCAACAACAAGAGTCAGTTTTACGTGTCAAAAGAGGGAAAACAACGGCAGAGAGTCCATCGGGAAGATCCCCGCAAACGAGACGTGACCTAAAGAAGAGCAGAACTTACGAAGACGCACCTGCTACAGAGCCCCATAGCAGATCGCTTTTTCAGATGCACATGGACAAACCTTCGAAAACTCAACCACGGCCAATACTTCCTGCACCTTCATCAGAACGCGACGGGAAAAAACGAAAACCTGCAAAGAGAGTTAAATCCTCAACAGAGCCCTCAACGCTATCAAAACAAGAAGAAATCCTCTCTGAGTCTGGTTTGCTGAACTCATTGGTATTTTATATTCGCTAAATTCAATACCTGTACACCATTACATATAAAGTTAGATTAGTTCTTTGCTGCTAGGCCCTTCAAGCTGTGATATCAAAATTAACATTTTCCTTACTGTTTTTCCAACGTGTTTAATGTTCTCAAGCTGAGAAGCAATATTTGCCATGGTATATATACCGTATATAATTTTTTTCTCACATGCATGATACGTGATACATGATACTGATACATGCAAGGTGAGGAGAAATTGCATCCTGATCTCTGTACGAGACTACAAAATAATATACCCTAATTTTTAATCAAGCTTATGTCATGCTAAGTGTCTTACATTAGCTGTCAAAGAGATACTTATCTGTATTTATAAAGCAATTATAATATAGATTATTAGCTTGAATTATAATAAATAATATAAAAAAATGCTTGTTGGGTTGTACTTAAATGTTTTTTTTTTCTCTCTTGTATAATCTAATTGCATAATGGTTGAGTTGTTGAGTTTCAGATGACCTTAATTTAGAGACCATCCTGTTGTGTTTGAAGTAAACATTCAAGCCAAAAATGTAAGTAACCAGTAAGCTTTACTTTTCTTTTTTAATCAAGTAAAAAGTGGTATCAAATTATGTGTAATACATTCCTTATAGATAAAGACAATAAACAGTTACTGAATGTCTGTAATTTTATTGAACTCAATCTTGACTGCCCTTCACCCAAAAAGAAACTAACTAAATAAATAAATGATAAAATTAATAGAGAAATTAACTTTAATATATTTTTCTTTCTGGCTTTTTAAAATTTATATTAGCTCAAAGATGAGCCACTTTTGGAGGAAGGAACCAAAACTGTTGACACGTTGGCCACACTGATGTTGACTGGATGCACAACCCATCAGATTGCTGAGATAATCATGCAATGCCGACCTTTAAGAAATGCAGTTAAGTGTTTGTTCTTGAACGATGTGGATGAACAGTGTCAGAAACTTTGCAACAGGAGTGCAGAGAATTCATCTGTACTTCGTACTCCACCTTCCAAGCATAAGGTAATTACAAGGGTAATTACTAACAACCTTATGGTTAAGGGCTAGTGTAGAAAGTAAAATGCACTCAGGTATTGTAATTTTTTTATAACCAATAAAATTTAAAATTCACTTGAAATTGGAATTTAATCAAAATAATCTTTTGGAACCCCGAAATAAAAAATAAATAAATTATGATGCATTTTTTAATTAAGGGAAATAACATGATAACATACAAATGTATAATTCTATGTTCTAGAAAAAACTGACTGTTAATCTAATTCAAATTGATTTCTAAATAGGAGTTGAAGAATTTCTCCTGGGAAAAGGTTATCACAGAAATGAAGGAGCGTGTCCCTGATGTACTGGATGTCCTAGCTGCTGTAGCAATTCCAAATGTCACAGCTCATGAAGACAGTGCAAAGCAGATTGCCCCACTTTGTACTGCATATGGCATACTAATGTTTACCCGGTGGAAAGAACTAAGCTTGATACAGAAGATGAACAGTATATTGCTCAGTACTGGACATGCTACTGAAAGGGTATTTAATGTATCACAATTAACTCTGCTTTCATGTGCATTATTGCAGCCATACCGGGGCTTTAAGGAGCATTATAGTTTATTTTTGATTGGTTACATTTTATCTGTAGTGAATCTTGCCAAAGACAAATGCAGATCTGGTAATTTGTATTTTAATATTCTGCAGACAATGAAGAGGCTTAACAGAGCAGGTGTAACAATGACCAGGGAAACCTACAGGGGCATCATGGATGACATTGGGTCTGACTTAACAGGTAAATGAACGTATTAAATATGTTAAATAATAATAATTAACCCTCTTGAATTTACATGTTACTGGTTTTTCATTATTTACTATATGCTAGTAAGTCAGTCTTAAATTGGAAAATAAAGTAAACAATTTGAATACATGTTTTACTTTTAAGAAACTCTGGAACAATTCAAAAAAAATCTGTAATTAAAATGTATTGTGTGTTAAAAAGGAGAGAATCTGTCAAGTGGCAAGGATGAGTCCTTAAAGAACAGTTAATAATGAAACTTATTTTCTTCCTTTTTAATATTTCAATCTAGGTCTATACAATTATGCATAGAACTTCATAAGCTGTCTAAAAGAAGTTCAATTAAAACGCTTTGCTCTTCATTTTTTAAATTAACAGTCACTATAAGAAGGCATGTGTCAGCTGGATGTGTACCCAGGTTATTCTTTGATAATCTGGACTTCAAGGTATTGGTTAACATCATACTGCAGAATCACCGCCACTCAGATATGCATTGGATTGCTCATTATGTAACATTCGACAGAGTACCCTCTGATCACCTTGATGATTCCAAACCTATATCTGATGGCACACGATTTGAGAATATTGAGTACCTTCTGTGTCAAAGTGAACTTGAGAAGTTGCGAAGTGATTTCATCGTCTTAGTGGCCCGTATTCTTGCTGAATTCTTTGAATTCATGGAGCCTCTCAAATCTGCCATACCAAAGCATATCCAACACAGGTAGGATAACTATAAATTAATTATGATATGCTATACATGTATTTAGTTTAAAACAAGCCAAACAAGCCCAAAAAGGTTATACAATCCCACACTGGTCTGCCGTCTTACTCTTGGCCATAGACATCTTTGATTTCCCTTTGTTCCTCAAGCATAAAAAGGAAATGGTCAAGACAATGCCTTGCAGTTTTAATATATATAGATTTAGCCAGGGCTAAAAGCGAAGCTCTAGTTAATAATAATACTTGACGTAAACAAAAAAAAATTAAATCATGTAATGCTAAATGGGGAGGGCAATGAAAATGGCATCAAGATCAATAGATCTAATTAGCAAAGAAACACTTTTTTTCTAATTAGCAAAAACACAAATTTGCACATGCAGCACACATTTTGGCTTTCTTTGCCATTGTTTTGCACAACTACAATGCTGTTTTGTAGGACTAAAACGTCAAACTTCCTAGTTACACATTATTTTATGGAGAAATTGTCATATAATATGTGCTTACCCAATATTTTGTCTCCTGTGTTCATGCATGATTGCTTTTATTTTTCACTGCCACTCATTTTCACCTTGCTGGCTGCTAGCATTTCTCATTCTCACAACCACTTTGAATTTTCATGTTTTCCTTCCTACAAAATTTGTCTCTTTTGTTTTCAATCACTCGCTGTAGCTCTTTCTCTGTTATCCACATGAGTGTAAACATCAAAAATAACGTCGAAAAAGACACCACTTTTTGTTGTTGTTTTTTCTTTCTAAAAGTCCGGGCAGTCATGCGATTCTTTCCAAATAAAACCTTGAGTTGCATTTGGGTTGCCATACCTGTTGATTGAATTATTTTAAATTGACATGCCTGTGGTGCGGACGGATGGTTGGTCGGTCAGTCGGTGTATGGTCATGTTTTTTTGAATGGGTAGTTTACCACATTTTTTTACGCATGGTGTTCCGCTGCGCGCGCTTCACGCATGCGAGAGCTCCAATATCAAGTTTCTTGGTACGTAGACTATACTTAATTAATTTGCTCCTTTAATGATGGTATACAAGAGTTTGTCATTTGCTAGGTGTGGTCTATTTGTTATTTATTTGAGATAAGATAATGATATTTAACTTAAATTAAAAGAGCTTTGGTATATTGTGTTCAGGTACTCTGAATTCATGAACAAAAAGTCTGTCATTATTGGACTACCAGTGGTACCTTACAATCAATCCAAGCATGCAGATGTTTGCCAATATCTTGAATATGTTCAAAAGCTACTGGTTGATATCTACAAGCCACAGGTAATTAATCATTATTTATTAATTTTTTCAAAGTCAAATCATAAATTACAGGATACAAGATGGAAAATCATCAAATGTCACCACAAGGACTTCAATGCTGGGTCATATATCATTAAAATTCAAAAAATATAAATGGCAAACATATGCCTTTCATTCCCTGATCAAGCTATTAAAATATAGTCGCTGAGTATTGAAAGAGCATAACAATTTCACTTGTCTTTGAACATTTGAACCTGATGTACCAAATAGTTTTGGAGAAAAACTTGAAATTTTGCAAGGAATGTATGAGCTCATAGTGTTTTGCCACCCAGAAATTTTGCAGTTTTTGATGGCTATTTCCTTTGTTACGTATGATTGCAAAGAGCTGAAAATTGCACAAACTGCTCAGAATATCTAGCTCTTTCAACTTTTGAACCAAGCTTTTACATACACTGACATTTTCTATGGGTAAACTCTCATGCTAATGAGCAAAAATGCAAATAATGATGTCAGCAAAGATTCGCGAATTGTTCTTAACAGAACCAAGACATGCCAGTTAATGCAGATGAAGTGCTCAAGAATGTTAAAGTGCCACTGGGAGGAGACCTCCTTGGACGAGAAAGAATTACTGGGGCCAAAAAGACTAGACTTGGGTGTGACAGTGCAGCAGAGAGATTTGAAAGTATTGTTGAGACACCTGCACTTTGGCATGCAAAACAATCCTTTCTAGGGGTTAGTTTTTTAATTATTACATAATCTGATTATTCTTTATTTTAACCATTGTCTTTTGCTTTTTTTTTTCTGGTTTTGCCTATGTTTGGTAAAAAGATACTTAACTTAATGACTAAGTAACTTTATTCCCAATCAAAAATGAAAATAGCAGGATGGGTCCAAGGGACAGCTATTCAAAATATTTAAAAAATATTTCTTTATCTTCAATTATCTGCTCAGAATGCATGCAGGTGGTACTCTTTCAAGATTTAAATAATTTGCTTTTAACACAATCTCATTTCCAGAGGCCAAGGCAGCACTTTTTCCTTAGTTATATGTCGAATCTGAGCATTAGCGTGGTAGAGGTTTGAACTCACAACCTCCCACTTGACAAGCTGGCAGTCTTCCAGCTATGCAAGGTCCAAGGTTTTCCATGTCCAAAATTGAATTGTCATTAAGGTCAAAAAACATTTTCACCCTAAATTAAAATCTCTATAATTTAAAAACTAAAGAAATTCAACATGCAGTCTAGGTTGAAAGCAACCTGAATTTCCTTTCAACTATATAACAACAGATATTAGTCAGACAGAGTTCACATATAAATCAAGTAGACAATTAATAAACATTGCTTATTCTTTTTATAGTATATCTGGGAGCAACTTTACAAGCCAACTCCTACAAGTGGTAGAAGAGACATTGGCACCTTGTATTACTTTAGGCAAAATTTTGGACTTGTTAATGTGCCACCAAGGGTTCAAGACAACTACTCAAGTTGTGAGTCACTGATGTTGTCGGCAACAAAGGGTTACATTTGTGCAGCATTCATGGCATGGGCAGGGACAACAGACACTGCTACCTCTCCATCATGGGTAAGCTCTATTGCAAAGGAGAGAAATTCAGCAGTCCAGTGGGAAAGCCTGCAAATTCAAATTGGCAAGTTTGTTGATGAGTACGTGTTGACAGAGTTTGATATTGAAAGAGCCTGGCAGGAGCAGCTAGAACAACAATGCCAACAGAAAGAAAACCAAAGGAGATCTGCTGGCAATGATGATGAGATGACTGCAATTTCATTCCTTGCTCAGCAACCATACTCTTCTGGTATGTCTATAAACAATACTTTAACATACAGTACAATGCTATGTGTGTGAAAATGAAGTATTAAACTACATTATTTCTATTAAAATTTTCAAATATTGGTATAAGGCACCAGGGTGCAAAGAAAGTCAGTTTTGTGGTTTGCCATTCAGGCAAGCTGTAGTTAAATAGAACATGTACTTGCCCAAGAGTCATTTTTTAATATAACTATAGCCCAAAAAAT